TTTTACTTCGTAGATACACTCGTCTTCAGCATGTCTGGCAGCTGTTGATTCATGTTGTTTGGCATCCCTGAGCTTAACTCGGTTAAGCAGTGCCTCCATTTCCTCTGTTGATATACCGAGGAGCTCATCCTTGAGTGTCTCTAGCGAACCAGTAAAGGTCTCTTCCTCATTGAAGATAACATCTCGTGTGCTGATCACCTTATTCGTATGAGGATTCCAAATTCGGTAGATGTTGGTAGAGCTGTAGCCGACAAGGTATCCAATCCATGCCCTCGGGCTCAGCTTTTTCATGCGGTTTGACTTCCGAAGTGTATCGGTAGTGCGTAACACTTACAACCATATACTTTCAGATGCCGTTGGTCAGGCTTCTTTGCTGTGACTGTGGTCCTGTCCCTGTTGGCCACGTAAGTGTAGAAACGCTCATATGTGACTTCCAATTGTACAAGTACTTAGGAGTCCTGTTGTACAGGTATACACTTGCCTGGTAAATTTCTTTCCAGAGGAAGCTTGGAAGTTTTGAGCTTGCTCTCATAGCTCGCGATTTCCCTTGACCACACCCCCTAAGCGCTCGGCGCCACCGTTCTGGGCTTGTGTATGTGGAGCAGAGGGCTTGACTTTGAGATATCGTGCCTGGAGCCACCCCTTCAGTTTGAAGGATTGTGTGATCTCGTTGTCGCACTCGATTGACCGTGGTTTGATGTCGAATTGTCGCTCGAGGATACCTAAAACATCATCCAGTGCTTCAATAATTGACTCTGCTGTCTTGTCTCTCATGTAGTAGCCCATAGGATCCGGAGTATCTGTCGGTGAACAGACACAGTCTTGAGAAGCCCTCGTCGTCTTCTTCTTCTTTCCAGTGAGGACTACCTTTTCCCAGGTATCAATCCAGTCGTTCATGTCCTTTGGTGGCTAGTTAACGGTTTGAGTGACTCAAAGTAGGTGTCCCGGGCTGCCGGTCTTCGTCCTCTTCGTATGCTTGTCCTACCAGTGCAAGATTGGTGTACCACTGATCCAGAGATTCGTCCTCACACAGTGGTGTTTCTTGGGATCTGGATGGATGTGCTCAGTTACCCAGTTTCTGAGTCGATCCTATGGTCCCGGTGGTTCCTTGTACTCTCGGTAGTCTTGTTGATACGTAGAAGGTCGATAGCATACTCAGCCTTGCCGTCCTTTGATAGCTCAGATGGTTTTGTAGGAACCATCTCAGGTGCGGCTTCGATATCTGGCGAGTTTTCAGAGCGCTCTGCGATTTCAATCTGGCTTTCTCTTCAGGCCACCTGAAAAGCCCTTTCCAGGTTCTTGTCGACTGTGTAGTCTTTCACGACTGGCTTCTAGGAGGTGTAGGCCAGGAATGTCGATTAGTAGGTCTGATGTACTTCCAGAGATCCATGGCTTTGGCTTTGCCTCTGAACTCTGCTGACCATTCTTCCCAGTACTTGCCAGAGGCTAGGAAGATTTGTTGGCGTATTTGTTCACATTGTGATTTTCTCGAAGGGAGGCCGTGATATGCCGAAATGAAGTTCTGTGAAAAAACAATGATGCCAGAGGCAGTGAGACTCTTAATTGTCGAATATCACGTGTGTCCAATCGACTAGTCAGAATGTGTAAGATTGTATATGAATGAGGTGTATGTTCTCTGTCTTCTCTGTTCTCGCGAACTCCCGTTGCCTCTGTCTTTTATAGATTCTTTAGAACATATCGGAGGTACATTGTTCAGGTATCTGACCCCTAAGTGGACAGTAACTCTGGTGTTACTTTTGAGAAAAGGGGTTCCTTTCGCCTTCTGAACTTTAAGTGACAATAGTATTCTCCAGTGCCATATCATTTCTCAACCTAGGAACCAGGTGCCCTATCTGACAGGTACCTCTACAAGTACTCCCGTATGTCAAACCGTGCCCTAATGGCTGGACTAAATACATACGCTGCTACGTAGGTTCGCTCTATTAGCGACTGCGTTACGTCCGCCGCAATACTATGTTAGTTTTCACCCTACTAACAAAGTCCCCCTGAGAAGATCGATATTATCCGGGCCTAAGCGCTATCCGACCGGTCCTGAGTAGCCACCTTGTGTCAGATAGGGTACCTGGTTCCTAGGTTCAGAAATAATATGGCACCAGAGAAGACTAGTGTCACTTAAAGTTCAGAAGGCGAAAGGAACCCCTTTTCCCAAAAGTAATACCAAAGTTACTGTCCACTTAGGGGTCAGACACCTGAACAATGTACCTCTGACATGTTCTAAAGAATCTATTATTATTATTATTAAATACGCCGTAGGCTCGAAGCCCCCGGTATCTCTGCTAGTACTCCCGTATGTCAAACCGTGCCCTAATGGCTGGACTAAATACATACGCTGCGTCGTCGGTTCGCCCTATTGGCGACTGCGTTGCGTCCACTACCATACTACGTTGGTTCTCAACCTACCAACAGAGTCCCCCCTGAGAAGATCGATGCTATCTGGGCCTTGAAGCTGTCCGACCCGTCCCTAGCAGCCACCTTACAATAGTCCCACTAACTACAGGTTCTCCTGTTGCCGTTGCGAGGTCTCTGCGAGAGTATAGTGGCCGTGGTGCGATGGCGGCCCGTAATCGTTCCCTCGGTCCTTCCAACAGCCCGCAAAAGAGGATTACGTGCTCTGCCGTCTCAGGGGCATCGCCACAGCGGCATAGCGGCGAGTACACGCCAAAAGCCCCTGTATTGAATAAGAAGGCTGCTAGTCCTATTTTTTCCGTCCTGATCTGGCACAGCGTAGACGCCTCCAGTCGGTTCAGGCCGAAATACTTGCCCCCTTTCGGTATCTGCATCGAAGGGCCCTCCGGTTCCTCGGCGATAGCGCGTCGCTGGCGATCGTGATGCTCTGCTCCGGTGAGCCATCTCTTCCTCCAGTGGCCGAGGAGGGCAGCCGGGACCTCCTTTTCCTCACTCATCCACTCGGAGCCCCGGGCCTCCTTCTCCATAGTGTACCCTGCAAATAATCTATAAAAGGCAGAGCAACGGGAGTTCGCGAGAACAGAGAAGACACAGAGAACAATACACCTCATTCATATACAATCTTACGCATTTCTGACTACTCGATTGGACACATGTGATATTCGACAGAATGTACACCGAGCTGGCCATGACACCGAGCTGGCCATGACACCGAGCTGGCCACCCTTACATAACCTCGCATAGAAATTTTACGATAGTAAAACCACAACGCGGTAAATCAATTGAAACTACTCTGAATCTTCCTCTCCAGAAGATGGCAATGCGATCTTACAAGTTCGCGCATTATGCCCAGTCCCGTTGCAAATACCACAGCGCCTCGGGCGCGTTTCAACACGCTTTGCGCGACCACCATTTCGGCGCTCTTCTTGCTGTGTCTGCGTCGCCAACTCCCTAGAGTCCCGTAGGTCCTGTCCTTGGAAAATAAGTGATTCTCGTTCCCGTAATTGCATTCTTTTAGTCCTCCGGCGCCGGCTTAGCATCTTATTTGCCTCTCGAAGCTCAGCGCACTCGGCCCGTACGAGGGCGAGCTCGTGCATTATCACTTTTTCTCCCTTCGCAAACTGGTCGACAGCTGAGAAAATATTCGTCGGAGAGCTATTCTGATGCTCGGAGATGCGCTTTTTCAAAAAAGTAGACTGTGCATGAGCCTCTATCGGGTTCTGTGGCGTCTTTGATACCCACGGTCGGGTTGCGATTTCTGGGGAGCCAACAGGCGTCGGGGTCCGTAATCGTACGTCCAGCTTTGAAATCACACTTTCTGGATTGAATGGAACAAGCCCTGCCCTTCGAAAGCCAGCTTGAACGTTTTTTTCGCCGAAAACTGCAAAGAAGGCGTCTTTGAAGATAGGAAAGAAGTCCTCCTTCGCGATATGTGTTAGTGACCGGCGTATCAATTTCTCTACCATCTGGCCGTACACCCGCTTTAATGGACCGAAACAGGTCACGTCAAGTGGCTGGAGGATGTGAGATGAGTGCGGAGGCATACACAAAGTTACAATTTTGTGTTCTTTGCAATATAGCTCGAAATCGCCGGAAACGTGGCTCTCGTGACGATCCAACACTAACAATCGATATATCCCGGACTTTCCATCTTTCGTACAATTATCGAAGTGTTTAATAAATTCCATACCAATCTCGTTAGTCTTCCATTCTTTTGGACTAGGTCTAATTCTCCAATCTTTCGGAATGTTGTCGTCTTCGTACCAAGAAGAGAGGTGGTATCGGCCCGCAACAACGATGAACGGCGGCAGCGCCCAACCGGTAGACTGGACCGCTTGGATTACGGTAACCCATTCCCGGTTACCTTGCTGTATTTATTTCGGCCTGGCACGTCGTTCGGAGCTCGTAACTACTATATTGGTTGAGATCTTGCCCATCATAAACCCAGTCTCGTCGAAGTTGTAGATGTCCGACTCTTGGATACCGTATTTCGCGATAACATTCGCAACAAGCCGAAACCAATCTGCAACAAGCTTTGGATCTTCGCATTGGGCCCTTTGGCAATCGTAAGGACGGTTCCAACGAGTTTTCAACTCTTTGCGACGTGCGACGAACCTCGAGGCCCAGCGCGTTCCAATGGGCCCTGCGTTACGTGTCGCGCGGATAGAATTTGCCATTGCTTCTACATCAGCAATCCGGGGCGGAAACGCTCGCGCATCTAAGTCCAGTATATGCTTGATAATGATCTCCTCTTCTAATTCTGTCATAGTTCGTGAATTGGGCAAAATATCGCGTCGGAGAGGTACGCCGTTTTTACGCGTTTGGAGGGTGCTTCGGGGGACTTGGTACGTTTTTGCCGCATGTCGGAGACTAAGTTTTTGGTCATTTTTGAGAGCTTGAAGGGCTAGCATTAAGTCTGCTTCGTTGTATGACTTTGCCATAATTGATTGTTGAGAAAATCAAAGACGAAGTTGGCCGGTCGCGTTGGCGCATGAAAGTGGCCAGCTCGGTGTCATGGCCAGCTCGGTGTACATTCACGTTAAAGACGATAAATCGAAAGATAATTTATACTTATAAGCTAAATACTTATTAACCTAAGAAATATTAATAAGAGCGTATTCGATAACGAAATTGAAGGTATAAGATAGTATAACCCCAACCCTAACCCCAAGTCCCGTATTCACACATAAATGCCCGAATGAGTTGATTTGAAAATGCTAGACATATCAAAAAGGCGTTTCCTCATGTAGATATAATTGTTAGAATCCCAATATGAAACTGTATCTGTGGATACAGTGGATATGGAAAATAAGCTTGTCTATGCTGTTAAAAACAAGTGAGGTCACTCAAAGTCACATTCATTTGCCCTTTCCCTTCTTGCCCGGCTTCCCCAAAGCGGCCACGCGCTTCTTTGCCTCCTTGGCTTCAATCTCTGCTTTCTTCGCTGCCTCTTGGGCCTCACGTTCTTCCTTTTCAGCCTGGGTCTGGGTTAGTACGTGTGATAAGTACAATCAGATTGTGGACATAGAAACTAACCTGCTTCCTAGCGGATTCAGCCTCGCGCTTCTCGCGAATGAGACGTAGCCGAGCAAGATCTGCCTGGGCCTCATCGGTTTTGCCTGCTTCATGCAGTTTGCGGTATCTCTCCTTGGCCGCAGCGGCCTCCATGGATTCGCGCTCCTTTCGGCTCATGCTGGCAGCGGGCTTGGTAGCCAAGTTCTTCACAGCCTCGGCGACCTCTTCGACGGTTGCTGCTGGCTGTTTGGTCATGTTTCGCGAGGCCTTGGAGTGGTTCGGATTGGCGGGCATATCGTCGTCGCTTTCCTCTTCCGAATCAGTGGGCATGTCTCCCACCTGTATCTGCGCCTTCTTCTTCTTGGCAATGGCAGCAGCCTTGGCCGCTGCCTTCTGTTGCTTGCGCTCTTCTCTGGTCAACTCGCGGCTATTGGATGGACCAACGCCAGAATCCTCATCGGAATCTTCCTCAGACTCCTCACCCGAGTCTTCAGAGTCATCGTCTGAATCCTTCTTTTTCGCGTCGGCGCTCCACATGCTGATTTCATTACCATCGGCGTCGAGGGGTCGCAAGTCGCGCGAGAAGTGTTTGCCGCCTAAGTAACACCAGGTTAGCAAGAATCAGGAAAGAAAAGGACAAAACCGAAGTACAAACCTCCTCTAGTAAACTTCTTGAACTTTCCGCCGCGACCGCGAGAGTTGCCACCAGGTCCTCCACGTCCAGACATGATTACGTTGTAAGGTTGGTGCAGACTTCTCAAGCTGTTCAAGGAGGGGGAACTTAATGTCGATTGCGGGTTGTTGATGACTACAATGCAGGAATTTGATGACCCTGAAGAGGTACTCGTACTGTTGTTACCTTCGGAGAAATCCAAGCAGAAGCAATACAGAAACTGGGAACTCAGAAACTCAAGATAATGACTACTGGACTGGACTGTCAAGAAAGACCACTACAAAATGGAAAAATGGTATTAAAATCGCACGACACTGAACACTTGCGTGCAAGAGTCACAGAGTAGAGTGGGCCTAGATGGCGGGGTCGGCTTGGTGATGTTCATAACTGTACAGCGACGTCAAGTGCATTTTGCATTCATGGACCTTGCCCCGCCATTCATTCCATGATCAGCAGAATGGAAAGCAGGGACCACGTTAGCATTCGGAAAAAGTGTTTCTCCTCTATCCGCTCCTTCCACAATGCATTTGTACTGCAATTTTTCTCCCTCGCAACTTTATTTTGTTTCCTTCTTCATAAAACTTCAATCCTTCCTATTCACTCTGGCTTTTGTCACTCGCAAGAGTCCAATGGCAGGTCTTGGAGGGGAAACGGAAGGACAGAACAAATTCGATCTCTTACCCTTTGGTCTGTTGCAGTTTGTCTGCCGTCGGAATCCAGAGAAACTTTTGCATCGATACATCCAAACATGTCCATTAAGTGTTCTGAGTCTTCTTGCTGTTACATGCTAGCAGTGTCGAGATATCACCATGAGCTTCCGTGGCCGCAAGGGGCACTCTGTTATCGCATGAAAAGCCCTTGATTGATTTGATTTCGCAATAACATTAGTAAACTTCAAGCCCCGGCTATTGATATGACTTTGCCTTTGATCTGGGAAGAAGCTATGATACTATGTCCATCGTGAACGTTACCCTCATGATCTCTATGGTAGTATGCTGTGGTTCTCGACTGAAGCACAACGATAATAAATACCTGCCTAAACGTATGCTCTCAGCTCAGCTGAGCTACAGTGCATAATCTCATTTGAAAAGTTGACCTAAAAGAGTAACCATTGCTTTTACGAGCTGACCTTGCAAGTCCACTTTTACTTAATGACATGCTTAGAGCTTAATGGATGCACATATGCAGCTTCGCGTCAGATGGTTTCTGTACAGATCACAGGCTCACAAATGTTACAACAGTAACTTCGATTATCTTCGAGAAACCTAGCCTATGTTTCCTAAGATTCGCCCAATGTCATCACTCTAGATAATCTCCACTTCCACTCCACCATATGAACCTAAGCTGTATGCGTTTGATCTTTAACACTCATCCAAGCGTTCCAACCAGACGACTGTCTACACTTTGTGACTCAACACGGCGGGATATTAGGCAGATAGTCGATGACAAATAGACCTCAGCTGGCGGAACGATAGCGGCTTTAGAAGCTGCTGCATGAGCTGCCAGATGACGCACGTCAGCTTTCTCCTGATGCATCCGAGTGTCGCCAGTCTCTGCCTATCCCATTGATACAGTCCTGGCGTTTAGCACAATCTCAACAGACTGAAGCCCCCTGAGATGACACGCTGACAACCTTTAGGAAGGTTGAACAGTGATCTAATGAGCTTTGGTACAGTCGCTAAGACGTAAAGTTGCCCTCGATAATCCGTGGTTGTTGCTGAACAAAATGAACTAACGCCGCGGATGGCCTCAGAGGATGCCCCAGCGGATAGAAGTAACATAGTGTGTGGTTGTATTTCTACAATCCTTCCAAAGCATCTTTGCCAGTACTTGACTTCCAGACCTCGTCAAAGTCCACCCCGTTCTTCTGAAACAGTTCCCTGATCTGCCTTGCGGTTTCAATCTGCTTCTCTGGCCCAAAACCGCTGGGCTGCGTCGACTCGAACTGAACAATCTCGATCCACCGAAAGAAGAGGTCCTCCTTGCCGAGGGCTGCGAGGGCGTCTCTGAAGGCAAAGACCTGTGTCCTCCTCTCGTCATCGTGGGCATTGTCGCCGATCCTCATGTCAACAGCCAACCAGCCGAACTCTTCTTGATGAACCAAGACAACCATTTTGAATGCTTCGATGGCTATCATCTTCTTGTCCACCATGATGGTGGCATCCATCATAACGCCCCAGTCCAAATCCCATTCCTTGTTCATGGTGAGGTAGCCCGTCTTCTCCTGGAGGAACATTGGTGCAGTAGCGAGACCGATTTGTGCCATGAACAAGCTCTTGCTGCTCTCGTCATTGATTACATCCCCGATGATATTATCCCAGGAGCGGCTACGGCGAACAATGACTTCCCGATCCCGAAACCCGACGATCCATCGCCAAGTAACCGGGTTTGAGTGTTCCTGGCCAAAGCAGAATTCGTACGGCCAAGGCCACAGGAAGACAAAAAGCATAAGATCTGCCATGAAGTTTCCTGTGCGCTTGATGATTTCTGGAAGCAGCTCCTCCCATTCCATCTCAGTGGCGACAAAGGTGGTCTCGTTGGCATAGCCAAGCGTCGAGGCCAGCAGGGCCATGTACCAGGGCACGATGTAGTACATGCGCCAGACGAAGAGGGCGGCTATGGCGATGTTCATCAGAACCGGCACAGCGAATATCTTGCGCTTGAACTCGACAGGCTTGTTGTCGATGTGCATAATGTAGATATGCTTCTCCTCCAGCGTCTCAATGAGTGGCAGCAAGATTTCAGGTGGTGTTTTGAACGGCGCCGGAGATCCACCATCTTTCTTCCTCTTCAATGATGCCGGTTTGCTGGCCTTAGCGGCGTTCCTTTGTCGAGCCATGCTGAAACTGTGAGCGGGTTGCCAGCACGATCCGAGTTTGCTAAGGGTGAGAGCTCCTAGATTCAATGCAACTTGATTTGACAATGATATGGTAAGAGGGACCTCAAAAGGAGGCAACATCCATTTGTGGCTGAAGACCGAGTGGGTTTTGATTATTAAGTCAATATTAAATTTGATTCGTTCAAGTCTTCCTTTCTGCAGGGATTAATGGCCCGGAAGAGTGGGCCCTTACTTGGTAGTGGCTTGAAGGTTCCGACTTCCCGTTGAATTTTTGACGTTCATGTGGCTTCGTGCCCCAAAGGTGGATAACTTCCTAAAGAGCAGCCGTAAACTCGTACATATTATTTGTACATCGGGAGCTCCAGCACGCCGCAAATGTCGCATTACAGTTTGCGATTGTGAACGACAGTATGCTGAGAGGGAGGTTACTACGGGTAAGTCACGGTTGCGCGCCCTTCCACGCGTTCCTCTGAAAAACATTAAGTAACCGTAAGCAGCGGAACCTTTCAGTCTCCACCTTCTGCCAGCACCGATTCTCGTTCCAACTAGCTGGCCCATCGCGAAGGCTACTTTCCAGTACCCGGCCTGTTCGCAACGATGACTCGAATCCCTGGAGCCGAGATAATGCGCCGAGCAGGAGTGGAGGAGCATCTGGCTGGGGCAGGCCAACCTTTGGCGAGTTCGCCGACGCTCAGCTCGACAGTTCTGTAGGCGATGGGCTACTGCCGCACGAATTGAAGGCACGCAAGCGACTGGAAGCTCAGGCAGCCCAAGCAGCCCAGAAAGCTAAGACACAACCACACCCAGCTACACTGATGAAGCCGGCACTGGCTCCCGACAGACAAAGGAGGGTTGACGAGTACTTGCAGAATTCAAGAAACGAAAAGGTCGACTATTCAGCTGTGCAAATCAGACCAGCCAAGGCGTTACCGAAATCACCCCTCGGTTGGAATGAATTGACAGATGAAGGGGGGGTTTCGTTGCCAGGTCGCGAGCCATCTCGAAATAGCACGGGTCCCGCTTCCCGCCCGGGACTTGCCAACAGCAATCCCTTCGATGGGAAGGGAGTGGGTTTTGGTCCACAGGAATCAGTACCCTTGTCGAGGACTCCCTACATATTTTCACCTGGTCTTGGCCGAGGTGAGTTTGGGACAGATATTGCTATCAAACGTGAAGCGCTGAGCGAAAATAAACGCAAAGTACGTGCCGATGGCTCTGGCTCCTTCTTCCGGAGGGTTGGTCCTGAAAAGGAGGAAACGCCAGTTAGAAAAGTGACCGCAAGTCCTGGAAATGAATACATTTCAAAACTACCCTTATCTCCACGGGAGCGGCGTGGGCAAACAACAGAGCATCTGTCTGGCCAGCCATTGGAAGAAGCCCTGTTATCACGGCTCGCCGAGGATCCTGCATTTTTCCTGGGTCCGGCCAAAAGAAACGCTCAAACAGATCAAACCGAGGGTATCTTTGGTAGCAAAAAAGCATCAGACATCCCCGGGGAGAACAACACTGTGGGTTTGTCCTCTGAGTGGGAGGGCAGTGCTTTTGTAAATGTGGAAGCTCCAGAAGTCCCTCAGGAGAACCGCTGGGCGTCTTCAGCCCTGCCGTCAACCCAAACGTCCGTTGGAACGGCCCACAGTGCATTATCACAAACCTGGGGTGATCAGTCTTTACCTGGTTCTGGTGGATCCTGGGGCTCAGGGGCTTTTACTAGTACACCAGCTTCTGAAATCGCAGAGACCGATCGCACAAGTTGCATGATCACACAACCCTACCCCGGTCCCCATCAGGGAAATCGATCTATGTTATTCAGCGATAGCGATGGATCCGGCTTTCGTAATACCTCGAGACAACCAAACAATCAACGAAAGCGCGTGGCACCTCGAGTCAACCTAGCCGACAGCTTCAACAATACGCGCCGGCAACCTAGGCCTTTAAGTCAGTGGGGCCAAGATCAGGTTCCCCCCCCACCAATCAGACATTGGGGAGACTCAAATGGTACGTCGAGTCCCAACTCTACCGGTAGTTGGTCATCAGCAGTATCCACCAACACCATCTCGTCGTCTGCCCCGACCGCTGGCTGGGGCTCTTTAGCAAGAAAACTGCCTGCCGAGAAGACCAAGAATGAAGATTTCTGGTCTGCTTTCAATCGTAATGTCATCCACGACGAGAAATCGGATCGCACGCCGTCAGATGATTGGGGAATGTCTTTCGACAGAGGTCGCCGACGGCCAGAACGAACGTCAAGGGCTTTTGAAGACTGGAGCAACGAATTTGATAGAGTTGGCCCACGGCGAGAACAAACACAAAGTGTTTTTCAGGACTGGGGAAGCGGTTACAATTCTAATAGGACGAGCCTACGGCGAGAAGTAGCCCCAACAACATCTGGTGATTTAGCGATGAAGATCACCAAGTCTGATTCATCCAGCAGTAATTGGGCCATAATTCCACAAAATGCTAGAGCGTCAAACGAAGGTTCGGCAGTCCAAGGCCCTGTTGAAGCGTTCGAAGAAGACCGCCGGCGCCGACGTTATGAGCAGGACCGCGACGCGGATGTTGATCGTTCGGTTGCCCGTAAGGATCGCGGCAAGAAGCGAGGAGATCGCGCGTCGAGATACGAGGTTGAGGAAGATGAGTGGGAGGACGGTTACCCATCAAGACGCGAGAAGCGTACTTCTTACAGGGACGAAGGAGAAGACGATTACGGTGCCCGACGCGACGACCGATATGAGCAGTATGTGGAGAAGAAACGAAAGAAAGAAGAGCGCAAGGCACAGCGTGATGCTGGGCCAAGGAACATCACGTTGCCCGAACTAATCAGCATTACCGATCTGGCCAGGGCGCTGAAGGTTCACAATAGCCTTTTCCTTGAACAACTAGGCGAGCTCGGTTTCGAAAATGTTTCCCTGGAGAGCATCATGGCTGGCGAGACAGCGGCCCTCGTTGCTCAGGAGTACGGTTTCGAGCCCATCGTTGAGACGGGCGCTTCAGAGGACCTCAAGCCCCGGCCTCTACCGGAAGACGCATCGGTGCTCCCTCAACGGCCTCCAGTGGTGACCATCATGGGTCACGTTGACCATGGCAAGACGACTCTCCTTGACTATCTCCGTAAGTCATCCATCGCCACCCAAGAGCACGGCGGTATTACCCAGCACATTGGTGCCTTCTCTGTCAAGCTCTCGGTCGGCAAGCAGATCACCTTCCTAGACACACCTGGTCATGCCGCTTTTCTCACGATGCGTCAGCGCGGTGCAAACGTGACCGACATTGTTATTCTGGTGGTCGCGGCAGATGACAGTGTCAAACCACAGACGCTTGAAGCAATTAAGCATGCCCGCGCGGCCAAGGTGCCCATCATCGTGGCCATCAACAAGATTGACAAAGAGGGTGCGCGCATTGACCAGGTAAAACAGGACCTGGCCCGCCATGGGGTCGAGATTGAAGACTATGGCGGCGATGTGCAAGTAGCTTGCGTATCGGGCAAAACAGGAGAGGGGATGGACGCTCTTGAAGAGAATATCCTGACCCTTTCCGAAATCCTGGACATGCGTGCTGAGGAAGACGGACCTGCCGAGGGCTGGATCTTAGAGAGCAGTCTCAAACCTATCGGCAAGGCAGCTACAATCCTCGTTAAGCGTGGCACCATGCGTTCGGGTGATATCATAGCTGCGGGCACAACATGGGCCAGGATTCGTCATCTACGGAACGAGGCGGGCATCATGATTGCCGAGGCACCGCCAGGCACTCCAATTGAGGTGCTGGGCTGGAAAGATCTGCCCGCAGCGGGTGAGCTGGTCATTCAGGCTCCGGACGAGAGACGCGCCAGGAATGCCTGCGAGTATCGCAAGTCGTTGAAGGATCGCGAGAAAGATGCCGCCGATCATGAAAGGAGTGTCAAACAACGGAAGCTCATTGAAGAGAGACGGGCAATGGAGAAGGCCGCCAAGGAGTATCCCGACGGCCGCGAACGCCGCACAGATGGCACTTGGGGCACCACCGAGCAGCTGCCGGCAGAGGAGGGCGGCGTCAAAATGGTCAACTTTGTCGTCAAAGGTGACGTGCATGGTTCCGTCGAGGCCGTGTGCGCCAGCATCCTCGAGATCGGCTCCAACGAGGTGCGTCCGCGCGTCCTTCGCTCCGTTCCGGGCCACATTACCGAGGGCGACATCGACCATGCGGCCACTTCATCTTCTATCATTGTCAACTTCAATCTGCCCATATCTGGACTCGTCAAGCGCATGGCAGAGGAGCAGGGTGTCAGGATCCTAGACCACACTGTCATCTACCACTTGGCCGACGACGTCAAGGATGTTCTCAGCGGGTACTTGACCCCTGATGTCAGCATCAAGGTGCTGGGTGACGCCGAGGTGTTACAGATTTTCCCCATCAACGTCAAGGGTCGTATGTACAAAAACATTGCAGGCTGTAGGATACGCAACGGCAAGGTGGGGAGAAATGACCTCTTCCGCGTCATCAGAGAAGGCGAGAAGATATTCGAAGGTGGGCTATTTCCCGTTTTTCATGCAGGCATTCCTATGTCATATATGGTTATTCAACCGCTAACTTAAGCACGAAATAGGCAAACTAGAGTCTCTCAAACATCTCAAGAAGGATATCGACGATGTGCGCAAGGGCGGCGAGTGTGGTATTGGGTTTGCAGAGTTCCAAAACTTACAAGTAGGGGACCAAATTCAAGCTTTCGAAGAGGTAACAACACAGAGGAAGCTGTAAGGTCAATGCGTGTAACTGCCAAATGCAAAGAAGTAGCAGATAGCCGGATGCATGTTACATAGGTCAATCGGGCCTGCTGTCACGGTAGAAACTATACTATTGTAGAATACATGTATATAGATCATGGTAGCCCACCTAAACCCCATTTAGAATGCGTCTGCATTAGATGACACTATAGAGGTAGCATAATTAGGGTATTGACGTGGGGTTAGGGTTTTTGGGTGCTAGTTTTCGTTTTTTTCCGGTTTCAGACGAGTTATGTGTTAGATATTCACGTATCTTGCAGTATGACCGTGATATGACGGTTATATGAAAAGAATAATTTGGTGGTTATGGTTAGGTCACCGTTTTTTCCATGCTCGATCCCCTCTCTCTGTTCTCTTGGCTGTGTGCATTGCCTTTAAGTAATCTGAAGGGTCCAGCCTTACTAGGCTACCTGTATCCCGCCTTTATCCTGAAGCACAAAGCGCTTTTATTCTAAGCATAAAGCGCCTTTCAACCTTAGGAATCACTGTGGTGCTCAATCCCACATTTAATATCAAACAACAGTCTAGACAAAGCTAGAACTAACGATATGGTGCGTCTATGCTCCAATACCATGTGACCCGTCGTTTTTGACATTATGTAAGCGCGTTCTTGAAGGGTACTTAAGACCTTATGTACATAGTTACTCTCTTGAGAAAAGGATAGGAATTCAAGCGGCCTTTTCCACAGTAATCTGAACCAATTTATCTTTACTTGGACAGGCATTCAATGTCTGACGTACCTGTTGAGGTACTTTCTGTTCCCCTATAGATCTGATTGTGCCTGCTGAGGTCATTGTTCCCACCTTTCACCTGTTGAGGTTCCTTTTCTTCCCCAGCCTGCTGAGGCTACAGTTGTTAGTACCTGTTGAGGTACTTGTCGTTCCGATCAGGGCAAGGAGCTCTTGATCTTGTTATTTCTTTCCACCTCCCGGATAGTAAGGTCTTGTTGAGGATCTTGTTATTCGTTGCCATCATCTCCACACCTTAAACCTGCGGGTGGTTTCACTGCCCGTCGTCAGTATAAAGCACGTATGTAGCAATGTTACTATTACTGTACAAGCACTAACCTCCCCTTCAGACCCTTGGCCCCTCAAATATAATGACTACCACAGCAAAGACAACTTAACTGCAATTCGTTAAACAATTATTTCTAATGTAGCTAGTTATAACTCTTCGTAGTAAGTTAACTAACCTATCCACGGCTATACTACTCTCCGGCCTACTCCGCGACGCGACGCGACCCTGGGTATATGCACTACTATTTCCTATATAATAGTATAACCACATGTAAGGAAAGAGCCGTTGTGGCGGGCCGGTCTCAGCTGACAAGCTGAGTCGGGAGGGATTCGCCCCCGATCCGGTAGAACCCCGGAACCGCCCAGCTTAAGAGGAGAACTCGAGACGCTCGCACCTACTTTAGATTCTTCAAGAATCAGTCTTGCAATATACGCACCCATACACTGGCCTACTTCTAGCTACCCTTTGCACTACCTGACTATTATATTGTGAGACGTGTGGTGTCCTCGTTACACCACACGCCTATTTAGTAAGAAAGTTTAATTAACGTGGTTTACTATTAAGCTAACGTATCCTATAAGCAAGTTAGCTACTTTTCTTAGCACTATATAAATAACTTCAATAACTTAATTAAAATAAAAAAGTCGGCTGGTGTAGTTGGTCACTTCGCTGGTAGATGTGAAGGTCAACCCTCGCAGACTCACTACAACCAGGTGACGTACAGCTGGAACACCTGCCATGGCAGTGCCAGGTGGGAAGCCAATCATAACCCTTGTAGGAGCCCCGCCAAGCGTGGATGACTTAGTCGCGCTCCCTCAAACCTAAGTTGTGATCTTCTTTCCTTCGCTCCTTAGAGTAGAATCTTGGTCGATAGCACCTAATCGAGGTCTATACCCATGCGATGCAACCCAGGTCGTGACAGTAGATAAGTCCCGATTTGAGCCTCGCCCACTTGGGTCAGTGACGAGTCGCGGGTTCGAATCCTGCAGCTGACACACAAGGGGGTTTAGTCAAGACTTCGCCTACCCAGCGATAATAGGGAGATTGGCGCAGTTTAGGATTACGAGCATCCTAGCCAGTCGACCGTCAAGCACTACGTCGGCGGAATATAACTTCACAGCCGGTCCAGAATTCGAATCGTTAATCCGACCCCTTATCGGACCTCGCCTATCCGATAACGCTCGTCGGCGAACCCGTCCCCTCACGATAGAAGGCGCGCAGCACGCTCTCTCGCCGCGATTCTTGCGACTGTCTAGCCCACGTTATGTCAGATAGGACACCTGGTTCCTAGGTTCAGAAATAATATGGCACTAGAGAAGACTAGTGTCACTTGAAGTTCAGACGGCGAAATGAACCCCTCTTCCCGAAAGTAACTCCGAAGTTCGGGGTCAGACACCTGAACAATGCACCTCCGACATTTCCGAAAGAATCTATAAAGGGCAGAGCAACGGGAGTTCGCGAGAATAGAACACAGACAATAACACACCTCATTCATATACAATCTTATGCACTTCTGACTACTCGATTGGACACACGTGATATTCGACACGTTACGGTCTATCCACTTGAGCGTATGGTTGAGATTTATACGCTCGACGAGAACCCCAATTAGCAGATACTACGACTTGTCGCGACAAAAAATAGTCGGGCATCTTCTGCACATCAGCAGCATCCCACCCCTGAGGACGAATTTAAGTGCCACATTACCACACGTATCGGTAGTTCAGACAGGGGTTGTAGCACAGACTTAGGGAGGGACAGGAGGTTTAGTAGTCGTTTGGCTACAAGTTTACCTGTATAACCGCCCGACGCGGCTTAAGGGCCCGCTATATCATCTATAGCCCCTTAAGGGAGTACTTGTAGAGGTACCGAGGGTTAACACCTACGGCGTATTTAATATTATTTAATAATTCAAACTAATCGGAATCCTCTTCCTCGTTGTTACGAACCGATTCCGGAATGGATTTGGCCCTGAACCAACATTACAGGCCCGTCGGCAGGCCAGGTGGATACAGACGCGAGGATCACGGGACCCAGCATCGGAGGAAGGAAAGGACCGACAGGTCACGTGACCTACAGGGGTGGATATGTTGGATATGTTGGTTGTATCCAAGTGGGGATCAGTGAAGGAGAGACGGGTATATAAGGGACAGGACTCCCAGGCATTTCATAGATAGACAGTCTCTACTTCAGTCATCAATCTAAGCATCAATCTAACCCATTGGTGAGGCAAACTACCTTGACGACTCTATTCCCAGTTACCCTACTTGAATACTTCAGTTACCCAGAGCCCTATACTCCATACGTCAGACCCCGATATTATTGCTAAAGGACTCCGCAGCAGGAGTTACTTACTAGCACAAACCCTTACAGACTCTTTAGTGGTTTACGCAGCTAGACTATTAGAGGTTTCGTTACAGTATCCTTATAAAAAATAGATAGAAATACTTATACTACTAACGTGAATGTACACCGAGCTGGCCATGACACCGAGCTGGCCACCCTTACATAACCTCGCATAGAAATTTTACGATAGTAAAACCACAACGCGGTAAATCAATTGAAACTACTCTGAATCTTCCTCTCCAGAAGATGGCAATGCGATCTTACAAGTTCGCGCATTATGCCCAGTCCCGTTGCAAATACCACAGCGCCTCGGGCGCGTTTCAACACGCTTTGCGCGACCACCATTTCGGCGCTCTTCTTGCTGTGTCTGCGTCGCCAACTCCCTAGAGTCCCGTAGGTCCTGTCCTTGGAAAATAAGTGATTCTCGTTCCCGTAATTGCATTCTTTTAGTCCTCCGGCGCCGGCTTAGCATCTTATTTGCCTCTCGAAGCTCAGCGCACTCGGCCCGTACGAGGGCGAGCTCGTGCATTATCACTTTTTCTCCCTTCGCAAACTGGTCGACAGCTGAGAAAATATTCGTCGGAGAGCTATTCTGATGCTCGGAGATGCGCTTTTTCAAAAAAGTAGACTGTGCATGAGCCTCTATCGGGTTCTGTGGCGTCTTTGATACCCACGGTCGGGTTGCGATTTCTGGGGAGCCAACAGGCGTCGGGGTCCGTAATCGTACGTCCAGCTTTGAAATCACACTTTCTGGATTGAATGGAACAAGCCCTGCCCTTCGAAAGCCAGCTTGAACGTTTTTTTCGCCGAAAACTGCAAAGAAGGCGTCTTTGAAGATAGGAAAGAAGTCCTCCTTCGCGATATGTGTTAGTGACCGGCGTATCAATTTCTCTACCATCTGGCCGTACACCCGCTTTAATGGACCGAAACAGGTCACGTCAAGTGGCTGGAGGATGTGAGATGAGTGCGGAGGCATACACAAAGTTACAATTTTGTGTTCTTTGCAATATAGCTCGAAATCGCCGGAAACGTGGCTCTCGTGACGATCCAACACTAACAATCGATATATCCCGGACTTTCCATCTTTCGTACAATTATCGAAGTGTTTAATAAATTCCATACCAATCTCGTTAGTCTTCCATTCTTTTGGACTAGGTCTAATTCTCCAATCTTTCGGAATGTTGTCGTCTTCGTACCAAGAAGAGAGGTGGTATCGGCCCGCAACAACGATGAACGGCGGCAGCGCCCAACCGGTAGACTGGACCGCTTGGATTACGGTAACCCATTCCCGGTTACCTTGCTGTATTTATTTCGGCCTGGCACGTCGTTCGGAGCTCGTAACTACTATATTGGTTGAGATCTTGCCCATCATAAACCCAGTCTCGTCGAAGTTGTAGATGTCCGACTCTTGGATACCGTATTTCGCGATAACATTCGCAACAAGCCGAAACCAATCTGCAACAAGCTTTGGATCTTCGCATTGGGCCCTTTGGCAATCGTAAGGACGGTTCCAACGAGTTTTCAACTCTTTGCGACGTGCGACGAACCTCGAGGCCCAGCGCGTTCCAATGGGCCCTGCGTTACGTGTCGCGCGGATAGAATTTGCCATTGCTTCTACATCAGCAATCCGGGGCGGAAACGCTCGCGCATCTAAGTCCAGTATATGCTTGATAATGATCTCCTCTTCTAATTCTGTCATAGTTCGTGAATTGGGCAAAATATCGCGTCGGAGAGGTACGCCGTTTTTACGCGTTTGGAGGGTGCTTCGGGGGACTTGGTACGTTTTTGCCGCATGTCGGAGACTAAGTTTTTGGTCATTTTTGAGAGCTTGAAGGGCTAGCATTAAGTCTGCTTCGTTGTATGACTTTGCCATAATTGATTGTTGAGAAAATCAAAGACGAAGTTGGCCGGTCGCGTTGGCGCATGAAAGTGGCCAGCTCGGTGTACATTCACGTTATAGTTAGATATATTAGATATATAGCGATCTATATATCTACCCCTATAGGTTACGTGACCTACTAGTCTTTCCCTTTCTCCGATACGGGGTCCTGTAATCCTAGTATATATATCCACCTGGCCTGCTAACGGGCCTATAATGTTAGTCTAGGGCTAACGGTTCGTAACATATAAATCTAACTAAATTGGACGATCCTAATAAGAATAGGATAAGGGAAAATACTTTAATAAAAACTAATAAGTTTAAGAGAAGACGTATAAACTAAGCATATTTGCCTTATCCTATTCAAAATTTCCTGGATTCTTCGTCGTTATATGAAGCACAACTGCTCTTTACGCTCCTAAACATACCTTCACTCAATCCGCTTTTCCTCACTGCCGCTAGCGTCGAGAACATCCTTTCCATCAATATGACGATCGGCAATCGTGGTCTGAGCTGCGTGGGCCGCGGTATCAATTAGACCGTACCTCAGCGCGTACTGCTCGACTTGCTCGGGGCTCAACAAGGGCAGCTCTCGAGCGGCTTTGACATAGCTGATTTTGTTGATGAAACCATGGGCAAAAATGATACTAGAGCAACAGGGTCAGCACCACCACTCTTATGAATCGAAGAGGTGACTCTAAAGTTCGAGTTCATAATCTGACAGTCAAAGCTCCTCATATACTCCTTTTAGGTAACTTGTACTCTCTATATAGATCGGAAAAGGACAGAAATAACTCACTCTATCTCCTCTAAACTTCGTCGTGCCGTTTCAGGATAGAAGAACCAGATGACGGGCAAGAAGCAAGCATTAACTGCCGCAAAGAATGCGTATGTACCCCTGACACTCGGCATTAATATCTTATTAAGATACAAGCGGGTTGAGAGAGTCCCACGTACCATCCAATATTGGCTATCATGACTGGTGTTACCATTACCTGTGACAAGTCAGCCCATTGAGCTAGAAATCATCACGATAATGGAGACAAGATCTCAGAAAGGTTCAAACGGACAATCAAGAAGTTCCAGAGCCAGTTATTTGCCGTAGAAAACCCTGGGGAGCTCTCAGCATTAGTAATTGCTATTATATGTTGTCTTAGGAGAATTAATTCATGTCGTTCAAGTTGATACTATTCCTATGGGTTGTATCGCCCCTATGACAACACAGCAGATAATTTGAGTCAATAATCCGAGAATTACTCACCATTAGCCTTCGCGCGCGTTTTGATGGGGTTGATCTCGGCTGGGTATAGCCATGGCACTAGAACGAGGTAAGTCAGCAATATTACCACTCGCCCAGGAGGAAACAACTCTTAGAAAGCTGCATACAAGGAAGCCAAGACGTTCCAAATGAGGCAATGTAGAGAAACAAGCCGACGGCGGCTCCGCGGGCAGCCATAGGATCGTCAGGAATCAAGCAGGCGAAGGTGATCACCATGGAAAGCCCTTGCCCCACGGTACCCCAGAGGAATAGTTTCCTCCGACCAACTCGCTCGATAATGAACCAGCTCGTCGTAGCGAAAATTGCATAGACAATCATGTTAATGCCACCAAGGAGGAGCGACATCTGCTTGGTCTGGCCGATGCTCTTCTCGAACAAAATTGGAAAATAATAAATAACAGCATTGCAGCCGCCGACCTGCTGCATCAGCTGGGAAGATGCTCCGAGAAGCATACGACGGAAGTGCTGGGTTTTGCCGCCGGTAAATAGATACTTGAAGGGGGTGCTCTTCTGACCAATACCGCCGGATGCCCGAATCGAGTCGACAATGATGTCACGCTCCAGAGCCGTCTCCGGGCCACTGCTTTCGTACCCACGCAGGGCGGCAATCACTCGCTCAGCATCCTCGTATCTCTCGTGGGTGAGAAGCCAGCGGGGAGATTCGGCTACCAGGGCGCGTGTCAGTCAGCATATACTCGGACCTAACCCAAGAGCGGATACTCACGGAGGAAAATCATGGGGATCGATACAATCAGAGCGAATATGATCTGAAATGCAATGGGGAAACGCCAAACAAGGTCGTCCGATCCGAACGAACAGCCATAATCAACCCAATAGGCCACAACCGTACCGAATGCGATGACGCCGCCCTCGATACAGATAAGCAGGCCACGATTTGACGTTTTGCTACACTCGGCTGCAAGCCAGTTAACAGACCAAACAGCTTTTCGGTCCATGACGGGAGTTGTTATAAGAACCTTGGTAAGTGGGTATAGTCGCCGTGTTGAAGCCATTTCCAACACCCATTATCACTCGTCCCACGATAAATTGGGCCAGTGGTGATCCCTGGCGCTGCGCAGTAACTTGAATCAAAACACCGAGTATCACTGTGGCACTAAATATCAATATCGGAGACGTATAGAGCATAAAATTTAGAAAGAGGAAATACAAACGACAAAAGGGAACAAGAAACAATGAAGCGACACTCACTGGTAAGGCCGCCCGCGATCATAGCCCGCCTTCGACCGATCAAGTCGCCAAAGATGAGGATGGTCAGGGCACCTGCTAGACAGCCAATCTCATAGATGGCCGTCACGAATCCTTGCATACTCGGATTATCTCTCGTTGCCACGAAAAGGTTGTTGAACGCAGGTGCTCCGATGATGCCACTCATGACACTATAGGAGAGACGCCAAATGTCAAAATGTTGATTCCAGTTTCAACACCTCGAGCCATGCCGATTGCTGCTACTAACCCTTGGTCGTATCCAAAAAGCACGAAACCCGTTGTCGCAACCGTGGATACAGCTAATGACAGCGGCCGGCCGCTGAGGCCCATGAAGGTTGGAGGTGCCATACTAGTTGTGACTTCAATGCAACCGATTTTGTAGGTTTCGAATAAGAGAAACAAACACGAGGAATGGCAACTCTGCTTTCCATAGATCCAGGGTCTTTTGCAGGAGGGTGAAAGCAGATCAAGCAAAATTTACGCAGCTGACATCAACGCACATTTATTCGTTATGTAGTGGCACCATATGCCGACTTTTCTTCACATGCGTCATCGTCGTACGGCGACGCGCGGGTGCTGTATCCCGCACCGACCTTGCCGTATGTGGCCTGTCTCGGTGAACTTTTCTCCAACTTGTGTGCAGCGCCGTGTTGTATTCCTTGGCATGCTCGTTCGCCAATTATCTCCTGGTTTCATTCCCTACAAGAGTGCACATGTGATGAGACTGGCAAGGGTTAGTGTTGGAACTCCAACGTGAACCCCCGTCTGCAACTCTGACCATACCCCAGTTTGGTCATCATGGAACGAGACCACCGGGACTACCGAGAACCCCAAGTCCAAACCGGACCGCGCGCTGACGGATTTTCTAGTATACCCAATGAGATACAGTCATCTTGCAGTGGGGGCTCTTCGGCGTTTGGGACCAATAGTTCTCATGTTCCCGTACTCGACACTTAAGCTTGGCAGCTTGGACTTCATCGGCTTGGCAATTATTTCTCCTGTTGCCATCTTGGGCTATGTTGCATCAAGACCTGCGATTTGCGTTCGCGCCACGAACCAGGAACAGGTGTCTGGCAAGGTCAGCCGAACTGCAGCGAGGGTTGCAGGCTGGTCTATCATCCTGCCGAAACCCCGAATCTTCAGTACTTGTGACAGGCTTGGCCTGTGCGCAGGAATCTGGCTCTGGGGAGCACAGATCAAATGCCCCACTACTTAAGAGAGCATACAAATCAGCGCTACCCTACCTCACCGCCATTCCTTCCCTTCCTCCTTCCCTCTGCATAGTATGATAGATACATCAGGGTAGTACAACAGGCTCGTTACATTGTACTGTATCCGTTACATATCATACTATCCTTTTTTTTATTGGCATAATAGAGCTCCTCCAATAGGAGCACATTGGAACGAATGGCAGACAACCCCCCACGATAGGGGGAGCAGAACCTGCTCCCCAACCCCAACGATCACAGTCACCGAAGACCAACTGGAACGAATCATCAACGAACGTATAGCAGCACGCCAAAATGCCACCGCCGACCCTGTTAGAAATGCGCCCCCTCAGACCGCACCGCCCTCTCAACCTGCATCGACCTTACTCGGGGCGCAGCTACCACAAGGACTTCCCCGGAGGAAGCTGCTCTCATGGCCCGACCCCTTTACCGGTGATAGAAAGCACTTTCAGGCGTGGTTTTTCGAGCTATCGATGAAAATCGCTATCGACCGACCATATCTAGGTGGGGACCACGCGATCTGGTACTCGATTAACGCATGTCTTGATAAGGAACGAAAAAGCATCGTTAGTACCTTTTTTCAGAGCGGAGGGAGTGACAAGGCATATAACCCACAGGAGTTTCTAGATCTCCTAGAGCGTACCTTCGGTAACGCTCAAGAGCGGGATGATGCCCAGGAAAGGCTACGTAGTCTTAGGCAAAGAGAAGATCAAGAATTCTCCGCCTTCCTTCCGACTCTAGAGAAAACTCTTGCAGACTCGGGAGCAGGTTCGTGGCCTGATGACGCGAAGATTACCTGGCTTAAGGACTCCCTTAGCAAAGGATTTAAAAACCGGCTTGTTACCTTTACATACCCTACAGGGTACTATGAGGCCATCCGATAGCTAGAACCCATTGCGTGGCGGTGGGAGCAGACAGAGGACTTCAAACAGCTCCGAAGGAAGGTTGAAAAGCCTAGCTCAGGCCGCTACAATACCCCGCTAACACCAATAACCGAGCCGTCCCCGCCTAATACCGATGGTGATACCCCAATGACTGGCATGAACAAGCTTGGGAGCGGAAACCGAGACTCAGGAAGTTCGCCCCGCTCGAGGCGGCGCGCGAAATGGGTATCAACGTCGGAAATCGAACTACGGAAAAGGAGCAAGCTCTGTATCCGCTGCGGAGCTAGCGGCCACTTTGTAGCGAAGTGCCCTTATCTACCAGCCCGCAACCCCGACTCAACCCCCTCAGCTAAAATCCAGAGTGTCACAGTCCCGCCAGAGCTAGAGGACGGGGAGACGGGTACGTCTAAGGAGGAAAAAAGCATAGCTCCGGGGCGAAGTCGGGCTCCGGAGCCGACCAAGGAAGCAGTAAAGCAGTGGGAGCAGTGTAAGGAGCAGATGAACGGCGACGCTACGCTATTCGAAGTAGTCTTAAATACGAATCACCTCTCCTACGCAATGCTCGACGAAGGCTGCCAATGTTATGCCGCAATCGATGAAGAATTACGCCACGAACTACAGCTCCCGATTATCCCGATCCCAAGAAGAATAGTAAAGGGGGCCTCTGGGGCTATGGAAAGCACTTTGATCCAAGGGGTTACGTACTCCTTGGTTGAAGTCCAAGGATTTTCACAGTTAATCTATTTCTACGTGGTCCCATTGCTAGAACACCCGGTAATACTAGGGAAACCATGGCTAGTTAGCGACTATAGGGCGCTCAACGCAGTCATAAAGAACGATCGATATCCGCTCCCGCTTATTGGCGATACCCTTCGAAACCTAACTAAAGCACACTGGTTTACTAAACTAGACGTAGTCGCCGCATTTCACAAAATCCGTAACGTACCCCACGGTCCAATTGAACGCTTCTTAAGACCTCGTACAATAAGACATAAGTTAATTCAACTATAACGTAAAAAAATAATTAAAACTACTCGGAACTATCTTCTTCAGATATCTCTTTACTATTCTGACAAGTACGCATATTATGACCGGGCTCTCCGCACGTCCTACAGCGTTGCTGAAGTATCTCTGGCCTCCTCGTACGACTACGACTCCAGCGCGATTTATTATCTAACTCTCCGTTAACTAGCTTCTGAGACTGTAAATCTTCTCCAGCTTGTATACGAAGTGATCCTCCATACTGTAAACCGTTTTTTTTTCTCGTAGAACGCCGCCGGCTAAGTGTCTCATTTGCCTTTCGAAGCGCGGCGTTCTCACCCTCTAAAAGAGCAAGCCGGTGCATAACCTGCGTCGTACCCTTCGCAAACTGGTCAAGTGCAGTAAGTGTAGCTGTCGGAGAGCTATTTTGATGCCGTATAACTCGGTTTTTCACGTATTCGGTCTGGGATTGTGCCTCAATTGGGTTATTTGGGGTCTTCGACTCCCAGATAATAGGAAGGCCAGACGAGGTACCCGGAGGTGTTGGAGTATGTAACTCCACATCTAACTGCGAAATCACATATTCCGGATCGTACGGTACGAGTCCTGCCCCTCGGAAACCTCCTTGGATATTTGATATCGTAAAAGTTGCCTGGAACGCTTTTAAGAACGCGGAGAGGAAGTCCTCCTTCGAGATATGGGTAATATGTGCCCGCATAAGATCCTCAACTTCTTTACCGTACGCTCTTTTCAGTGCACGAAAACAGCCGATATCGAGAGGTTGGAGCTTATGCGACGAATGAGCAGGCATACAGAGTGTGATAATAGAGTTCTCTTTACAGTAGAGCTCGAAAGCGGTCGAGTGGTGGCTCTCGTGGCCGTCGAGAATTAAGAGGCGATAAACACCTTTCGTACGAAGCTTTGTATGTTGATCGAAATGTCGAATCCAGTCCTCGCCTCTTTCATTTGTAGTCCAGCCATTTTTCGTAACCGCGATAACCCAATCCTTTGGTAGTAGGCTATTTTCGTACCACGAAGATAGGTGAGTTTTACCAGCAAAGATGATATACGGAGGGATAGTATAGCCGTCCGATCCGACGCCCTGGATAACTGTAACCCATTCCCTATTCCCTTGCTGTACTGCTCTAGGTCTTCCACGTCGATCAGAGGTCGTTACAACTATCTCGGATGAGATTTGACCCATAAGAAACCCAGTCTCGTCAAAATTATAGATATCCTTCTCTTGAATTCCATACTTATTAATTGTATTCCGTACGAGATAAAACCACGCGCGGTACGCGTCGGGATCTTCGCAGAGGACTCTCTGGTAGTCGATTATTCGATTAAAACGCGTCCGGAGGTCTGGTTGTCGTCGTACGAAGCTCGAAGCCCAGTTAATACCGACGCGTCCTGCGTCGCGTTGGTGGAGTAGTCGATTCGCCATATCTTCAACACCACTTATTCGAGGAGGAAATGATCATGAATCTAGGTCGACTATGTAGCGTACGATCGGGTCTTCTTCGGAATAGGTAAGCTTTTGCGTTGGTGATCGTATATCCTGTCGTGAAGTACCGCCGCGATATCGGTGAAGTAAGGTTGTATGAGGGATATTATAGATCCGTGCTACGGATCGTACGCTTAGTTTGGGGTTATTTTGAAGCGCTTGAAGCGCTAATTGAATATCGCTTCCTTCCCCAATACGTGCCATTGTAGAAGGTGGAAAATAAGGGATAAAACCTAGGTTGTACGGAAATGCTGTAACGGGGTAAGGCCGGACATCAGGGAAATAGGTTACGGGGCTATGAGAAAGTTTATTTTCTCTTCTTTAAGAGGCACAGAGGCAGAGTAGGGCACGAGTCCTCTATCTTCACGCATCATCATCTCCTTCTTATCTATATCTTCACCTTCGCTTTTCAGTCAGTTATTTAGTTATTTTCGTTATTCAGCTGGGCTACGTGTCAGCAGTGGGCAGTGAGGCACGGGATGGAGTTCGCTCCTGACAAGAGTGAGCTAATGCACTTTACTAGGGCCCGAGAGCCCTTGCCGCAAAGTATTCGCCTTGGGGACGCCACAGTGTCGCCGGTAGTCTCAGCGAGGTTCCTAGGAGTCTGGTTCGACCGCAAACTGACGTGGCACGCCCATGTTGAGCGTGTTAAAACAAAAATGGCAACTCAAAAGCTAGCCCTGACAAAGCTAGTCAATATGTCGTGGGGCTGCGATCTTATACGGGCGAGGCTGTTATATACGGTGGTTATCCGTAGCGCGATCGCCTTCGGGGCGACTGCGTGGCATACTATAAGTGAGGAACCGGCAGGGCCAGCTAAGAGCCTGATGGGGATACAGAACGAGTGCCTCCGGGTAGTCTGTGGCGCCCACAAAGCGACGCCGGTTCGCCACCTGGAAGCAGAAGCAGCAATCCCGCCACTAGACCTCTATCTTAGTGCCCGGGCTGCTAAGTTTGAAGAACGGCTACGGCTTAGCGGGAAGAGAAATCTGCTTCGCAGCGCGAGCACTAAAGCGTCACACATACTCCGGCAGGATAGGCCGGCGAAGAGGAAGCAGGCGTCGCAGCTACTCCGACCGGCAGGGTACACTATGGAGAAGGAGGCCCGGGTGTTACGAACCGTTGGCCCTGAACCAACATTACAGGCCCGTCGGCAGGCTAGGTGGATACAGACGCTAGGATCACGGGACCCCACATCGGAGGAAGGAAAGGACCGACAGGTCACGTGATCTACAGGGGTGGATATGTTGGACAACCAACATATCCAAGTGGGGATCAGTGAAGGCACCCGGCCTCATTCGCACATATAAAGAGAATCGCGAGATCCTACACTTGGAAGAGTTTCAACGATCGATGGGCCACCACCTGCCCTCAACAGTATCGAGATCTAGGGATCGCTATCCACCCGCGACCCCCCGAACTTGGCCTGCCCCGGCAACACCTAGCCAGATTACTCGCAGCGAGGTCGCACCACGGGGATTTCGTGACCTACCACGAGAGACTCCAGCATCGCAACGCACTGCTCAACTGCGGGTGTGGAAAGACAAAGACACCAGTCCACTTCTACTTTTGCAAGCGCGGCCGCAAGGCCACGCCCGGTCATCTAAAAGCGCATATGGCCAAGAATAGTATAGATTCCCTCCTAGGCAAGGCCAAGGGAGCTCGTTTGTTTTGTCAATGGGCGGAGGAGACCAATTTCTTTACTGAGATCTGCCCATCGCACTGAACAGGAATGTTAGATGAAGACAGTCCCCTGTAACATAGATTCGACTAGCATAGACCATGCCGGCACTGCGCCCGGCACGTCTCACGTGATGAGACGTTAAATTTCAATCAATCAATCAATCGATCAGTGAAGGAGAGATGGGTATATAAGGGACAGGACTCCCAGGCATTTCATAGATAGACAGTCTCTACTTCAGTCATCAATCTAAGCATCAATCTAACCCATTGGTGAGGCAAACTGCCTTGACGACTCTATTCCCAGTTACCGTACTTGAATACTTCAGTTACCCAGAGCCCTATACTCCATACGTCAAACCCCGATATTATTGCTTGAGGACTCCGCAGCAGGACTTACTTACTAGCACAAACCCTTACAGACTCTTTAGTGGTTTACGCAGCTAGACTATTAGAGGTTTCGTTACACGTAGCAGCGTATGTATTTAGTCCAGCCATTAGGGCACGGTTTGACATACGGGAGCACTTGTAGAGGTACCGGGGGCTTCGAGCCTACGGCGTATTTAATAATAATAATATTATTATAACCCTCTTACCTAGGTTTAATATAAATATGGTACGTTCTAACTGATTACTCGGACGTTTTGTTTCTGGGGTCGACACCGTCTGTATACCCCGAGCCGAACCCTGCGTCCTTGCTTTTTTGCTTGTTAGCCGTGATGGCCTCGGTGAGCCGCGCCATCGTTCCCTTTCCGCTGTCTGCTGATGCCTATATGGCCATGTTAACCTGCCGTACAAGTATTCCGAGAGACTCCTGGACTCACATACTAGCACTTACGCTGGATATGGTGTACCTTTCAGCGTTTATCGATTGCATTCAATCGTGTCTGTCGGCGTATGCTGCATGCGTTCCTTAGACTCGGCATAATGTCTCGTGCGTACTGGTTGGTGCCTGTTGACATTTATGTGGAGCAAATGCGCCTGCATATGAAATTGTACCGGGACACTGACCGAAATCCCTTATCTGTGCAGCTTGAGGATATTCACAACACCCTGTCAGTTATGCCTACTGTGTAGTCTATGCTCCGACTTTCTACCTCGATCACAATAGCCTTGTCCAATAAATACTCCCAACCCATGTACCCCGTACGTCATGCCACTGGACTGCCAAAAGCAGATCTATAGCATAGGAGGTGGGGGCTGACCGTCACTATCTCCAGCTTATCATTCGACGTGTTGCTGAACCGGGCACCCATTAACAATAACACTCCGCTCTTAGACTACGATGTTTTAAATCAAATTGTACGGCTAAGTTGTTAGAACTACTCCATCCTCATTGTCTGCCAGTTGACTCTTGACAAGCCCTATCGGCACCATTGCGGCATGTGATCCATAGATGGAATTCCATTCATTACCACCCCAACATACCTCATCGGTATTTGGATACCCGTGATGCTACTAACCCCCAGTTTGAAACGCAGAGAAAGGGATATGGATTTTGACGAGTTTCTACTCCTTGTCGTGGACTAACATTTGATTACTACGCATTTAGGTGTTGAGTAGATATTTATCTGCTAAATGATGATGGCCAGGCGATAGGCCCTTGCGGAATATTCCCAGATTGATATATTGGCAACCCCTGCCGCTGGTGCTGTTAACCAGTATGTGCGAGACGCATAGAGCTGTTGCTGACGTTTGCCGATGTTTTGAGCTTGACATTCGTTAGTCGAGTTAGTGATACCTATATTTCCAATTCGTGACCCGCAATCCTACTTTAGTTTTGTAACATACTTCTCTTCATTATCCCACCTAACATGAAAAGTTGCATTTTGGAAATATGATACTGCCCTCGGTCTACCTCAGATGGAACGACTGTTTGGGTCTTGGCACTTCAGTGGCAATCCACAAGTTACATATGATGAGTGTCTTTCTGTCACCTAAGTTATTGCCCAACTACAAATAAAGAGTGTGCATCTTGTTTGACAACTGGGCACGGGATAGTTTGGAGTTCATTGTAGGGATAGCATTATATAATCAACTTAAATTGTCGACTTGAGGAGAGCGGGGAAGTTGGCGGTGTCGGATACTCGAGTTGGAGAAAGACGGTATCGGGCTTGGCCGTTAGTCGGACCTTACTTGGAGAGGGGGTTGGCTCGGAGCTTCATGAACCTGATATCATACCACAGCATTTATCAATACTGTTCTTGTTTCTTCGGGCATACGAGACACCCAGAATAAGCTATCTTCGTTTCACAGTTCGAGTTCTGTTTACTTGTGGGCGTCATTTTCTTCCTATTTGTCATGGCGTCAGACTCATACATTATTGTTGGCGCGGGCGTCTTCGGTACCTCGACTGCCTACCACCTTATCAATAAACATCCGCAGGCGCAGGTGACACTTATCGATCGGGATGCATATGACGCCCCGGCCCGGGTGGCTGCATCGTGGGACTGGAATAAGGTGGTACGTGCCGACTACGTTGACATCAAGTACTGCGAGCTCGCCCTCGAGGCCAAGGAGGTTTGGGCCAAAGACGCGCTATGGAAGCCCTTCTACCACGAGAGTGGCGTTTATTGGATCTCGCCCACCAACTTTGCCCAGAAAGTGGCAGACAATTTCAAGAAACTGGGCGCCGAGTTCGAGCTGTACGTTCTACCCGTCGACGAGGCACGAAAACAATTTGATGGGTTGTTTAATGATGCCGACTATACCGGCGTCAAGGAGGTGCTCGTTAACAAGAGTAGCGGCTGGGGTGCTGCCAAGGATGCCCTGCAAAAGGTAACGAAGACAGCTGTTGGACTTGGTGTGCGCTATGTCGTGGCCGAGGTGACCGCACTCCAGTTTGATGGTGCTGGTGACTGCACAGGTATCACTACGGCCAAGGGCGACTCCCTTTTGGCGAGCCATATCATTTTATCCACGGGTGCCTACACGCCCATGCTTCTTGCCAACAGCGCACCGGACCGCGAAGACCTACAGGCGGGTGGGCGCATGATTGCAACAGGCACGACTGAGGCAACAGCCAGGTTGGATCCCAGTGATTTGACAAGATTCGCCCAGGGGCCTGTTGGTATCTCGACGTTGCCTCAAGATCGAGGTTAGTTCCGTTAAGCCCCTTATCACATGTGCTGGCAATTCTTACCAACATCAAAGGCGCCAGTAACGGAAGTCTGCCAACCGTTGATAACTGCATGAAGTTCTGGGGTCAGACAATGTACAAGAATACTCATCCACATTCATCTGGGCGTAACATTTCCATGCCGCCAAAAGATCCCGACTACGCCATGTGGCATGTTCCAGAACTCCTCAAAGAAGACGTGCGGCTTGCCAATACACAGATATTTGGCCATATGGGGGAAGGTCTAACCTTTGATCAGTACCGAATCTGCTGGTGCGTACCTTCTCTCCACGACCGTATAAATAGTTGCTTACCACAGAATAGGGATGCTGTGACACCGAGCGAGGATTTCATCATATCGCCTCACTCGGCTTGCAACAACTTATTTGTCGCCACCTGTGGCTCATTCCACGGCTGGAAGTTCTTTCCCATACTTGGCAAGTACATCGTCCAGATGCTTGAGGGCACATTGGATCAAGAGCTGGTCAAGAAGTGGGCTTGGGCCCGGCATCTGCCTGACACCGATAACAACGGAGTATGGCCAAGGAAAGAGTTGGCTGATCTTAAGTCGACCTAAGTAGTATCAGGGTTCTCTGGGGCTTCTGCCGTTTGTCAGTTATCTATGATAGTCAACTAATCGATTAAATATAATGAAACGAGTAAGACGTCTATCTTCACTCAAGACTCGGAGGCGGGGTTGGACTTACTAATCGCTCGAGGGTAACCCTTGTTGTCCTCATCTCCATCGTTTTTCAGCCATGATTATTACCAGTGTTCGCACGAATAGCTAAAGACGGGGAAAGATATGTCTTGGCCGGGGTGGATCTAGGACAAGTCACAGGATGCCATCCGGGTACCCTTATAGTTTCCACGGATGAAGTACGCGCGCGCGGTGTAGTTGGATCAATACAGCCGAAATACACACCGCGCTGCTCGAGACGGGCACGAAGAGAATACATAATGACAGCGTCAGCTCGCCCGACTACTTATGAGTCATCAACAACTTAGTGACCACCACACATGTTGCATTTATATCCAATGAGTGACGACGGTTTGGCAAGTCGGAGCCGATGAGCCCAATACATGCTCGGGTGAAAAATGTTTAAGAAAAGATAATGGGGCTTTGCTACCCCAACTGTGCGGTATCGTAGTGGAGCTCGAGTGGGAGTTCTTTAGCCAATCCGAAGCAGACTGCCTTGATTTTGCATCTATGTGTTACAAGTGTATAATAGTTAAAAAGAGCAACCCTTCTCCAACATTCTCCGATAGACAGACAACAAATCTAATTACATCTCATGCTGCCTTTAACTACTTGATTGAAGTATCAGTGATTTCGAAATAGATGGAACGAGATTGATAATGATGTCGCCGCCGGTATCAACTCGGCATGGCCGTGCCGCTTACTTGTCAATGACGAAGCCAGATCCACTACAGCATCAAAGCCCCACCATATAGTGGAAAGATGATCCAATTCGGATCAAAACCGGAGCCCAGATCCCCAGTGAAGATTTGGAATCAATGCTTTTCGTGTGCGCTGTTGAGTTGTTTCGGCTTCTGCGCCCACCAGTATATAGTTCTCCCCGGGGTCAAGTGGTGGCCACCATCCATTCACACGATTTCTTTCCTCTTGATACTGAAGTCCTATCACCATCACATTACACTGCCATAAACAAGGACTCTACACCTACCGAAATCATGACTACCCTCAAAGCTGGAGATTCCTTCCCCGAGGGCGTGGCCTTCACCTACATTGCTCCGGCCCCGGAGACTAGCGAGTTCTCTGCCTGTGGTATGCCCATCAAGTACGACGCAAGCAAAGGTATGACCATGTGTCCGGCTTACTCAACTATACACTCTTGAAACCTATGTTCTAACCTGTGTCACCACAACAGAGTTCAAGGACAAGAAGGTTGTCCTGTTCGCTCTCCCAGGCGCTTTCACCCCAACATGCTCGGCCTCGCATGTCCCCGGCTACGTCGCGAAGCTTGCCGAGTTCAAGGCCAAGGGTGTTGATCAGATCATCTGCCTTGCTTACAACGATGCCTACGTCATGTCCGGCTGGGGCAAGGCAAATGGCGTTAAGGATGATTCAATTGTAAGACTTGTTGATTTTTTTCTTCTTTCGTCTCCTAAGACGTTACTGGAGGAGAAGGTAGCTAACCTGCATGTTTCCCTCAAGCTGTTTATGTCCGACGAGGGTGCCAAGTTCAGCAAGAGCATTGGCTGGATCGCGGGAGAGCGCACCAACCGCTACGGCATCATCATCGATCACGGCAAGGTTGTCTACGCTGAACTGGAGCCTCACCTTCAGGCTCTTGAGGTTTCCAGCGCCGACGCTATCCTAGCCCAGCTTTAAAATAGGAAAGAAAAAAGAATATTGGAGGTAGATCTGCAAGGGATTTTTAACTATACGCGCATGCTACTGGGTAACATACCTTATACGTGTCGAATATCACGTGTGTCCAATCGAGTAGTCAGCAGTGCGTAAGATTGTATATGAATGAGGTGTATTCTTTTTTTTGTGTTCTGTTCTCGCGAACTCCCGTTGCTCTGCCTTTTATAGATTATTTGGAACATGTCGGAGGTACATTGTTCAGGTGTCTGACCCCTAAGTGGACAGTAACTTTGGTGTTACTTTTGGGAAGAGGGGTTCCTTTCGCCGTCTAAACTTCAAGTGACACTAGTCTTCTCTAGTGCCATATTATTTCTGAACCTAGGAACCAGGTGCCCTATCTGACAATACGTCGTCAGCTAAATAATATAACGTAGTCCACAAGCGAACGGGTCACGTCAACTAGCAAAACATGGAATTCAACACGATTTCGCAACCACAACGCCGTAAATCAATTAAAACTACTCAGAATACTCTTCCCAGATGATTCTATCTCTACCTGACAGGTTCGCGCATTATGCCCGGTCTTCCCGCATACGCCACAGCGCCGTTGCCGTGGCTGGCCACGATTTGATCCAGCGCTATTTCCACGCATTTCCTTCTGTACTTGCTGCGCAACGTCCTTTTGATCTTGAAGATCTTGTACGTCTTGTGAATTAAGTGATCCTCCAAGCCGTACTCGTGTTTTTTTGGCCCTGCGCCGCTTGCTAATTAGAGCGTTTGCCTCTCGAAGTTCGGCGACCTCAGCTTGGAGTAAAGCCATCTTATGCATAATACTCCGCGCTCCTTTCGAAAACTGATCGATAGCATCGTGAATTGACGTCGGGGAGCTATTTTGATGCCTGGCAATTCGAGATTTAATAAATTCGGATTGCGAAGTAGCCTCGGTTGGGTTGTAGCCTCGGTTGGGTTGTTTGCCGTCCGAGAAGCCCAAGGAAGGGTTTCCCGCGTAGGGGGCCGGGAGGACGTTGGAGTCTGTAATTTCACATCCAGCTCCTCAATAACAATATCTGGGCTTAAAGGCACAAGCCCAGCCCCTTGAAAGCCTGCACGAATATTGCTTTCGGTCAGGCTCTTGAACGCGTCGCAAAATGCCGGAAGAAAGTCCTCCTTTGTGATATGCGAAATCCGGGCTCGGACGAGCTTCTCAATTTGCGAGCCGTAGGCCTTTTTTAACGGCGCAAAACATGCCACATCTAGTGGCTGGAGGATATGAGAAGAGTGGGCAGGCATACAAAGTGTAATAATCTTGTTCTTTTTGCAATATTGCTCAAAGGCGTCGGAATGGTGGCTTTCGTGGTCGTCCAGGATAAGAAGGCGATATACACCCGATTTCCGGCCTTTGGTGTATTTGTCAAAGTGTTTTAGCTAATCTGCGGTCAATTCGTTCGTAGTCCAACCATTTGGGCTCACGGCGATCCTCCAGTCCTTCGGCAACGCGTCGTTTTCGTACCAGGAAGAGAGGTGGTATTGGCCCTTGACAATGATGTATGGCGGGACCGTCCAGCCTTGGGAATTGACGCCCTGGATCACCATAGCCTATTCCCGATTGCTAGGCTGGGCTAGCTTAGGCTTGCCTTTCCTTTCAGAGCTCGTAACAACCATCGATGCGGTAATCTGACCTATCATAAAGCCGGTCTCGTCGAAATTGTAGATGTTGGTATCGGCAATCCCATATTTCGCAATTGTATTGCGCACAAGGTCAAACCAGCCTTGAATAAGCTCTGGATCTTCGCATAAGGCCCGAGAATAATCGTATTTACGGCTAAATACCGTCTTGAGCTGTGGTTGTCGCTTAACGAAGTTGGAGGCCCAGTTCTTGCCGACGCGTAACGCGTCGCGGTCGCGTAGCAGTCGGTTTGCCATATCTTCAACAGCACTTAGTGTCGAATATCACGTGTGTCCAATCGAGTAGTCAGCAGTGCGTAAGATTGTATATGAATGAGGTGTTTCTTGTCTGTCTTCTATTCTCGCGAACTCCCGTTGCTCTGCCTTTTATGGATTCTTTCGGAAAATGTCGGAGGTGCATTGTTCAGGTGTCTGACCCCTAAGTGGACCGTAACGTTGGAGTTACTTTCGGGAAGAGGGGTTCATTTCGCCGTCTGAACTTCAAGTGACACTAGTCTTCTCTAGTGCCATATTATTTCTGAACCTAGGAACCAGGTGTCCTATCTGACACTTAGCCGGGGAGGAAATGCTTGCGAATCTAGCTCAATTATCCTTTGAATAATCGTGTTTCCTTCTAGTTTTGTTAAATTCCGACCGTTAGCTTCGATATTGCGACGTGATTGACGTTTTTGAAGACGCGCCTGGAGAGTAGTATTCGAGACTTTGTAGATTGTTGCAGCACGTCGGATACTAAGTGTTAAGTCATTTCTGATAGCCTGAGTTGCAAGGAGTAATTGAGATTCTTTTTGAGCAGAATCCATCGAGAATTAGTTGCGTGGTAAAGTTAGGAAGTTTAGTTCTATTTTTTGCTATGGGCGTGACCCGTTTGGTTGGGTGACCCGTTCGCTTGTGGACTACATTACTGCAATGAGCTTCTTTTGAACCCAATATGGCCGAGTAGCTATCGCACTGGTGCTAATTGAAATGTTGTTCTATAAATTCAGAATAATGAGAATAACGGCTCGGAAAAAAGGTGTCAGTGTAATCTAGCAACATGGAATAATATTATTATTATTATTAAATACGCCGTAGGCTCGAAGCCCCCGGTACCTCTACTAGTACTCCCGTATGTCAAACCGTGCCCTAATGGCTGGACTAAATACATACGCTGCGTCGTCGGTTCGCCCTATTGGCGACTGCGTTACGTCCACTACCATACTACGTTGGTTCTCAACCTACCAACAAAGTCCCCCCTGAGAAGATCGATGCTATCTGGGCCTTGAAGCTGTCCGACCCGTCCCTAGCAGCCACCTTACAATAGTCCCACTAACTACTGGTTCTCCTGTTGCCGTTGCGAGGTCTCTGCGAGAGTATAGTGGCCGTGGTGCGATGGAGGCCCGTAATCGTTCCCTCGGTCCTTCCAACAGCCCGCAAAAGAGGATTACGTGCTCTGCCGTCTCAGGGGCGTCGCCACAGCGGCATAGCGGCGAGTACACGCCAAAAGCCCCTGTCTTGAATAAGAAGGCTGCTAGTCCTATTTTTTCCGTCCTGATCTGGCACAGCGTAGACGCCTCCAGTCGGTTCAGGCCGAAATACCTGCCCCCTTTCGGTATCTGCATCGAAGGGCCCTCCGGTTCCTCAGCGATGGCGCGTCGCTGGCGATCGTGATGCTCTGCTCCGGTGAGCCATCTCTTCCTCCAGTGGCCGAGGAGGGCAGCCGGGACCTCCTTTTCCTCACTCATCCACTCGGAGCCCCGGGCCTCCTTCTCCATAGTGTACCCTGCCGGTCGGAGTAGCTGCGATGCCTGCTTCCTCTTCGCCGGCCTATCCTGCCGGAGTATATGTGACGCTTTAGCGCTCGCGCTGCGAAGCAGATTTCTCTTCCCGCTAAGCCGTAGCCGTTCTTCAAACTTAGCAGCCCGGGCACTAAGATAGAGGTCTAGTGGCGGGATTGCTGCTTCTGCTTCCAGGTGGCGAACCGGCGTCGCTTTGTGGGCGCCACAGACTACCCGGAGGCACTCGTTCTGTATCCCCATCAGGCTCTTAGCTGGCCCTGCCGGTTCCTCACTTATAATATGCCACGCAGTCGCCCCGCATGGAATAATAACAACAGAAGAGGGGTTGGCTTAGTTAGTCTACATATCAAGTAAGTCAGATATCAGTCGTAGGTAATAAGCATAGTGTCGGCGTGGCTCTTGTCACGCCGTGCTAGGGGTTGCAATCCTTGCCACTACGCCACCGTACCAGATGTCTTCATCAAAAGAGACCAATACCAAAGTCCCTGACTTTGATATCTGCAACCACTTATCAATCTGTTCAGACCAGTGTAGGTCAATCACGTGACAACCGTCACAGCTCTTTGTCTTACGAAGAGAGCGCGAATGTACCTCCGATATGTTCTAAAGAATCTATAAAAGACAGAGCAACGGGAGTTCGCGAGAACAGAGAAGACAGAGAACAATACACCTCATTCATATACAATCTTACGCACTTCTGTCGAATATCACGTGTGTCCAATCGAGTAGTCAGCAGTGCGTAAGATTGTATATGAATGAGGTGTATTGTTCTCTGTATTCTGTTCTCGCGAACTCCCGTTGCTCTGCCTTTTAAAGATTCTTTAGAACATGTCGAAGGTACATTGTTCAGGTGTCTGACCCCTAAGTGGACAGTAACTTTGGTGTTACTTTTGGGAAGAGGGGTTCCTTTCGCCGTCTAAACTTCAAGTGGCATTAGTCTTCTCTAGTGCCATATTATTTCTGAACCTAGGAACCAGGTGCCCTATCTGACAACTTCTGACTACTCGATTGGACACACGTGATATTCGACAAATGTCGATGCAATTAGCCTAGCCTACTCTACGAGTACTATCCATCTATGAAGAGAAAAACATTAGATACATTCAGTGTGGTGAACCCTTCTCCCTTTTATCCCTCTGTCCTCCCGTCTCGTCATTTCAGGAATCTTCGAGAAGTGAAGCTATTCGGAGATTTCTGTGGGTCCAAGTGCTGTTGAGAATCTTCTGTGGGTCTTTCTGGCCGAAGGCGTCGCAGAGGCCACATACCGGTCATAGACCGTGACACCTCATATCCATAGTTATATTGAAGAAGCACTTTAGAGACTATGCGGGGCTCTCGTAGGCTATGGATAGCCTAGGGCCGTAGTAATTATAAGCCCGGTATTAAGGAGGTGGAGTTACCTGCTGTGTGGGTTATAGATAAAGGACTCGGAAGATAAGCTGTTAGGATAAGATATCTAGAGGTGGAGAGATCGCAAGCGTGAGGACGAGATTTATTATAAGGTTCTTAGTAAAAATAACCGAGGGCGGTTATGATATAGGAAGGACTGGATAGGAAGGT